TTAATTTGAAGTATTAAAGATCGTGCAACACGCTGTTGAATTTCTTTTTCTGTAGGTAACTTGCACGATTTACTTTTAGATGATAATGTGAAATCGGTGTGTAATGGTGCATCAAATACAGGTCGATATTGTAAATAATCACCAAAGAAGATAACGTTTACACCACCGAATGGAACTTGAGGATCGACATGTTTTGCAGTAGAAATAATTCGGTTGAGTTTTGCTAGTAGAGTTAAACCAACCATACTCATCTCATCAATTAAAAGATATTCGACTGGTCTCCATTCTTTTTCAAGCTTTGAGTCGCCTGGTTTGATAGTTCGTGGCTTTCTTGAATTGCGTTGTTCGCCCAAAAATGAATGAATTGTCATTCCATCTATTTCAGCAGCAGCAATTCCAGTCGGTGCAAGCTTTCTCATCATTTGCATTCTTTTTGTAACGAGAAAGTATTTGGTAAGAGCACGAATAAGTTGCGATTTGCCTGTTCCACCACAACCAGGTATGCACATTATGAGTTGACCATTATTGTCACCTAAAAAAATTATATATTTCGATTTGTGATGATGTGTATTGTAAAAAATACCTATGCGACATCGCTTGTCACCATCAAGATGACTTGTTATGATCATAAATGCAGCTCGTTGTTCTTTGTTTAATGTAAATTCATTAATAATACTTGTCTGAGTAGGAAAGTTATTTATGACTTTGAGCACTGGAAGAATTGAACCATAGTTTTCAAAATTGTTTGTACTATAATTATTTGGATTCATCACTGTTACAACAGCATCTCTTGCAGCAAATAAATCCAATATATCATCATCTTTGTCATAATTGCCTGTAATTAAACTTCGTCTAACTCGTTCTTTCTCGATCTTCAGCTGTTCTTGCCATTTTGTATTGAGTTGAACAAGATGAGGTGTTGCACAAAGGAACGGTATAAGTTGTCGATTAGTACGATCAATTGATATATCTGAAGAAGATTGGTGATGTACTACAATAAATTTTTTATTATTGTTTTCAAACTTGTTACTGATATAAAAATAATACTTACTGTTCGTATGATTAAATCGTCCAACTTTCTCGACAGCTTCGATAGTTTCTTCGATATATTTATTTTCTGTTGTTTTTCTTGTGGTATTGACTGCAGCAGTTGTATATTCATCTAAATTGCCTAATAGTTCAAGCAAGTCATCGCTGTCATCCATGTCGTATACACCATGAACATCATGATTTGCTGGCAAAAGTCCAGGATCGATTGCATCATTGTCGACTTGAGCTTCAGCAATAACTTGAAGTAAATGTTCATCGCGGTCCTTTTTGCATTCGTGCAAAAGTTGGATATTTTCTATGATCTTCCACGAATGTACAGAAATAAGATGTTGCCGAGAGTTGAGGGCATCTTCCCATGTTTGATTGGCACCACAGAGATCAGTAACTGTGCGCCAGGGCACGAAGAGCGTGAGAAGAGCTCGACTATATCGTTCTCGAGTGTCATCACGATCTCGTCGAGGAATTTGTGGGCCGTAAAGAATAGGTACATGAGGTTCACTGTATTTTATCATCAGATGTGTTGATGCCTGTGGATGTTGTTTTT